GGGATTTATTTATTTGTTCATTCGTTTGTTTATGTCTAATAGTGGCATACTATATATAATTTCTTAATTTGTTAAATTTTTGTTTGTTTGTTTATTTATTTATGTTTAATAGTGGCATATATATTTTTGTTTTTTATTTATATATGTTTAATAGTGACTATTTCTTTATGTAGATAGTTTGATGTATTATATATGCAAATGTTTTGATGTATTATAGTACGATTTTGGAGCTATTATTACTATAATATGAAACGTACACTATAATTTATATTATTTAATATATATATATATATATTTAATATATTATTTAAATTGTAAAGTATAAAATGTCATGGTAGTTTTTATGCTAATTAAAAAAAACATATTACAGTAATGAAAATGTAATTAGTAATAATAGAACTTGAATGTATTACAGTGTAAAATCTGATTATTTGTCATGAAAATAATGTCACAAATCTAAATGGTCCTAAGCAAGAGTTAATTTTTATGCAAAATATAATTTCATATTTATTTTCTTTTGATGTTGGGTGGAAATGTGGCCTGGACATGTTTTTTTTTCGGGCAGACTTCGATGTGAGGCTGGTTTCATTTGACCATCTGTAGAGAAACTCTTTCATTAGGTTTTGAGGATCTGGAGTTGATGGGATGATGTTCCTGCTACTGCTAGCGTTCTTCCTCTGGGGTTCTGATGCCTTTGATTCGAGTGGTCTCTCGCAGGTGATGTGGAGTGATGCAGCGGTGTGTTCTGCTCCTGCAGTAGCTGTGTTCATGCGTGTTTCTGCCCTCAGCTGTCCATGCTGTTCACCGAGGAGTGCGATAAGGTGCGGGATCTGATGCACGTTCACTCGTTCAGCTACGACTTCCACCTGCGTGTGGTGCATCAGTACCTCGTGGGCTGTCACATGACCCTGCGGCAGGGGTACCAGCTCACAGCCTTTCTGGAGGACTTCATCGCCCATCACCCCGACATACCAAAGTTCGGACGCAACCACGTCTTCCAGGGTGAGCGCATGTCAGAAACGGCCATCTATTTCAGCTTTAGCACGTAGTTGATTGTATTTTTATTTTTGTGTTTTTCTTGTCATTTGTCTGGCCTCATTGTAAGTGAAAATAATGCTGCATGACACTGTCACAGTCATTCGCAACAATGTATTTATTTTAAAATATATTTATAATATATAATATATATTTATATATAGTTTTATTTATTTACAGTGGGATATATTTATACATAATTTTATTTATTTATGTTTAATAGTGGCATATATTTGTATTTATAAAAGCTTTTATTTATGTATGTATGTTTAATAGTGACAAGTATTTATTTATTTATTTATATGTTTAATAGTGGGATATACTTATACCTCATTTAATTTTAGTTATGTTTAATAGTGGCATATATTTATATATAATTTTATTTACATATGTATGTTTAATAGTGACATTTATTTATTTATAGTGGGATATATTGATATTTATTTATTTATGTATAGTGGCATATATTTGTATTCATATATGTTTTTATTTATGTATGAATGTTTAATAGTGACATTTATTTATATATAATTCTATTTACGTATGTATGTTTAATAGTGGGATATAAATTGTAAATTGTAAAGTATTTATAAAATTAAATTTTAAAGTATTTATACATCATGTGACTTTATGCTGTTGGTTAAAAAACTAGTCAAAATACAGTAATGAGAATCTAATTAGTAATAATAATGACAGTTACAGAATAACTTGGATTCAAGTGTAAAATTTGATTATATCTCAAATCTCAGTGGTCCTAAAGTTTTATTTTTTGTTATGCAAAATATAATGTTGTATTTATTTATTTATTTATTTTGGGTTCAAATGTGACCTGGACGTTTTCAACCAGATTCACCCACTGATAGGATATAGTTAATGTTATATTTATTCTTTGGTGTTTTTCTTGTTTTTGCCAGTCATGCATAATATGCTTTTCATGTGTCCTAGGGAGTTTCTCCATATCGACGGGAATGATCACAGCACATCAGCTGTATAATTACATCACTGATCATGCCAGCACTTACGGGATGAAGCCCTTGCGCATGTCTAAAGCTGCAGTTACCACCGATAACAAGAAGGGGGCGCCGAGCGCAGACCTGCACGAGTACGCACTGGTCGCTCTGTGGAACAGGTACTTTAACTGTTCACTCCTAGTTTGAGCAAGCGATGTTGTCATTTCAAATATCGTTCATATCATATATCCTAATATCATTCTCGTGAAGCTCTGGCTCATTTAAAGACTTGGAGGGATTGCGACACCATGATGACTTTGACGTGTCGCTGCTGGTTTGTCATAACGCCGCCCCGTTTGAGGAGCAGTCTGAGGGAGAGAGACACCTGCTCAGGTACAAACAAACGAGGAATACAGTGACTTTGGGAAGCACATTATGGCATCAGTTAAACACTACATTGGTAGATAACTCAGTACAGCCGTTAATACAGTTAAACAGCAGGCGAGAACAACATTAAACAACATTTGCAATATAGTTCACTTCTGTGATGTGAGGTATTTTCTGCATGAAACTGAATAATCAGAGGAAACCGATATAGACTTCTGGGACTTTTGGATGCCATGTATCCATTTCCGTCCATTTTTGTTATATAATATTGTAAATAATAATATGGGTATTATTTGTAACATTACTATAAATAAAAAAGTATTATAAATAATAATAATAATGCATATCTAAATAAATAATATTAATATAATATTTATATTATTTACACTACAATAAATAATAATTATTGTATTATTATTTTTAATTAGTATGAATAATAATAACAATAATAAATATTAATAAATTATATAAAATCATAAATAATAAATAAATAATATTATAGATCATATTCATTTATTTATTCTGGATAATATGAATTAATAAATTATGTTATTGATGATATTGATATTGATATTATAAATAAATAGTCATGTATTTTATTTATAAAATATGAACAATATTAATAAATAATAATCTTTTTATATTTAAATAAATAATAAAATATTATAATACAAATATATCTTCATATTATATATATCAATATATTAATAATTATTATTATTATTATTATGTATTGTAAATAAAAATATTAATAAGTAATATTATAGATCATATTAAATTATTTATTCTAGAAAATATTATGTATTAAGAAATAAAGTAATTATTTTTCCCCCAGCTGCACGGTTATGTCAGCAGAAAAGAAAAGTGGAGAAAGTAATTACATTTTCATTATAGATTATAAAAGCAAATTTTGGAATAAAGTGCACTGATGGGGGAAACATCGATGTTTATTCAGATATTTGGGTTTATTCTGACTTCCTGTTTTCTGTTAAATTAACATTTTTCTGTTTGTACTGGTTTCAGGCTGCGTTTCTATGTGATCATGACCAGTCAGAGGGAGCTGTTCCCGCGTTTGACTGCAGACATGCGGCGCTTTAAGAAGCTTCCTCAGATCCACCGTGACCCCGGTGACCGCATCCCTGTGGAGCGGATGGAGGCTGGCAGCCCGGGGGGGCGGGAATCTGAACTGGACCTGTGGGAGGACACTACCGCCCCCGTCACCCCTCCAGCCAGCCCTGAATCTGACCCCATAGAGAGCCTCCTGCACGCGGGACAGGCCGGCCTCGCAGACGCAGATGCAGACGACTCTCAGGGGCTCTTCTACCTGTGTCCTCTCTTCCCCCTGCTCAGTTCAGAGGTGCTGTCTGCGCGCCGGCAGATTCAGAGCAGCGTGGAGCAGGCCATGGGCCACTGCCGCAGGGATAACCTCTGGAGGAGGCTCTTTCACGGAGAGCACTTGGCTCTGGATAAGCTCAAGCTCAGCAAGCTGACCTTCGGTGAACTAGAGGAGCTGCTGGACGCTGTGCAGAGCAGATCGGTCTCTGAGATTGACCCACAGCTGGTATGAAAACACATCCTCTGCCCTTCACCTCTGAGACCATCTTTCACACCCATTCATCTAACATTTTATATTCCTTTCTCTTTGTTCTCTAGCAGGCACTTTCCACAAATAGGTACAAAATAGGGTCTTAATAGTTTTTTTTTTTCTTTTCTTTTTTCTTTTTCAACAAATACTTGAAAGCACCGTTTTATTTAATTTAATTTAAATA